CTTCTGGGCATGCTAGGGCCGATTTCGTCGATGTCCTTTATAATCAATGTAATACGAGAAAAACCGTAGAACCTACAGTACGAATGTCTATAAGGCAAGATAGGGAGGAAGAAGTTGAAATAAGACAACCTTTAAGACAGAAGTCGCCCATATTTGATAAGGCAAAATATAGTTATAATTTGGATAGTTAAGTAAAAAAAAAAAAAAATAGTAATAAGCATTTTTATTATTTTTGTATAATTAATAACTAATATAAAAAAAAAAAAAAAAAAAAAAAGCATTGTAAGCCTCGTCAAGCAATTAAGCAATAAATTATAGAGCAAAATCAGAGCAACAATTGTACCTCAAAACTTAGCACATTAAGCATAAGCATTGTAAACATAAGACAGATAAGTTTGTTCATGTAATTTCTTTATAAGATAGATAGATAAGCTTATAACTTTTATTTTATAACTTCATTTTGTGTAATTTCTTTTTGTATTCATTTTGTGTAATTTCTTTTTGTATTTACCTCACTTTTTCATTTATGTAATTTCTTTTTGTAAAACAATTCGTACCTCATTGTTTTCTTTAACAGGGGAAGTGTTATATACCATAACTATTACTTGCATATTCCTCCACTTATTGCATCATCATTTGCGCATCACGCCACCATCATACGATCCTTACGATCACATGATGTTTTCCTCTAAATTAAATATGAGACCCTTTGTCCTCCATCATATTGCGTATGACATGGCCACCCAAATTGCCACCATAAAATAGTTGATTACTCGACACCGATCATTAAAGCTCATTATCGCTTCTCATTAGAAACCATTAGAACTTCAGATAATCTACGGTGACTCGATATCACCTTATTCTTTCGCGGAACATTCGCAATTCGGCAACACGTGAGCACTTGTTTACACCTTCCTATAAAAGCCCCAAATCCCTCGGGACCAAGACAGTCTACATCAGATACTCGCCTCAGGCACTCATCAAGACTCATCTACCGGTTCGCGACGCTATTCGTCTTCATATAACACCTCCTCTCTAAATTAGTCTGAGTGTAAGCCAGATCGGCATAGCAGTAATTAAATAAATACTTAGAAGCATCAACTGGTTTTACTTCACGAAGACTCCAGCCAAAGGGTACATAACACTGCCGACCCATAATGCCAGATTCGGCGCTTGACCACTGCTGGACGCGGAGGCTTGGCCTGTGGTGCTTTGGCGGATATCAGGCAGTGGTCGGACGAGCCCAGGGGGGCTCTTACCACAACCTGATAGCCCTGTGGATGGGTCGTGAGTAGAAGGTCCAGTAAAGAAGGCGCTTGACTTGGAATATCTGGGATCCTGGTGGGCTGATCAACCAGTTGCTTCAAGTCATGCGTGAGAGCGAATGTGTGAGCAGAGATCCCTGCATGGTCAGTTAAAAATGTCAGAAGTGGAAGATTTAAACAAAGATGATGAAAAAAAGGAACCGCAACAATATAATATATCGAAAACACAAGATACGCTAGAATTTTTATGAAACAAAAAACGGACGAAGATAAAATACAATATATATATATCACATAGATATAAAATGAATGATTACAGAAATTGTCAAATGTTACCACACGAAATGCAACTATTAATAGCTCACAATTTATTGGTGAAGCCAAGTAAATATAATATAAAAATTATCAATAGAAGAATGCGATGCCGAATGGATTACACCGAGAACAGTGACAGTGGTAACAAAAAAACACAACACACACGATAACAATTGAATACACAGACGAGGAGAACAGTAACATACCGGCCGATGTGTACATTATCGAAGCGGAAGTGGGTCCGATTATTACATACAATTTATACGATTCAAAAATATTCTCAATATCAAGTGGTGAAAAAACGAGTGAGTTAGAAAAATTACCAATGAAAAAAGAAAAAAAACGCTATATTTGTTTTGGAGTCCGGAATCAACATGGATAAAAGTGTTCAAAGGTGATGAAGAAATAGAAAAATACGAATTAGAAGAAACCGGATTTTACAATTCCACAGGAAAAAAATTAACATATTACGATTGGCAATCGACACGGTGAATAAGAATAAATCTATAAATAACATAAAATTGGATTCGCATGATATGTACATTTTAGTGAAAAAATATAATAGCACAGCGATGTCCAGATAAATATATGATCAATATCGAGAAGCAATCGACAATAACTTTATTCATAATTATCATAGAAAAAAAATTAAATTAGATGATACAAACCAATGCACGAATTATAGACGAGCATTTGTACCACCACAATTAAATTCGGAAACTGTATAAAACCCTTTATAAATTATGTAACATGATGATAATAATAAGAATATATAGGAAAAAAAATAAAAAATAGCTTGAAAAAAATTTCTATTAATGATATATTTTAAAAAAGTAAAAACATAAAAAAACACACACAGACATAAATACACATATTAATATTTACTAAAATTTGGTACATTGCAAAACGAACAATAGTAACACGACATGAAACAATCCGTATCTTTTTATAACATACTCGTAATATTCAATAACTAATTTATAACGAAGAAACGCATTGGCGCAAGCAAAAACAAAAACCTAATTTAGGAGCACGAACAACAGGAAAGCGTGGCACATAGTATTTTACATGAATAATGGAATACTGTTCTGTATATTTAGAAACAGTATTATTAAATATAATCTTATTACTATTACGGATGTGAAGTCTTAAAGTTGCATCATCGTTAAATGGCAACGCACAGCGATGAGGTAAAGGTAATGAAGGAAGAGGAGAATATAAAGAAGGAGACAACGGCAAAGAAGACGGCAAGGGACACATTGGTGACGGGGTCAAAACATGAACAGATAAAACAGGACAATCTATAGACGATGAAGAGGACGACGATGAAGTATGTAGATCTTCTTGTTGTTGTTGTTGTTGTTGTTGTAGTTGTAGTTGATGCTCATCGTCAAGCATAACAATATCTTGAGTGATATCATCGTCGTCATCATCATCAGTATCATCATCATCTTCATCATCACAATCATCATTACCAATATGTAACGTTGACACATCGTCATCATCTTCAAATAACAAGTTAACATACCGCATACGAAGGTCCTGAGGTTCGGTTAGTGAATCATCGATAGTAGTTGAAGAGGGAAACATCGTTTGATAATTAAAAGTTTCCATAATAAACGAACTTGGAGTATATATAACACTGTCTTTATGACTGTTCATAAAGGCAAGCATGAAGTGAATATGCACAAACAAAATGGATCAAAGCTTATATACCCAAATAAGGAAGATGCAACATGATGCAATTTACGAAATAGTTCGCAATACACGAAAAACAAAACTATAAATCAAAAGTAACGATCGACAGATAATAATCTATAAAAAGCAAATGCACTTAAAATTTTTAATTGTGGTCAACAAGATAATAAAAAGGGACCTTTATTTTTTAAATATCGAAAACAAAGTAATAATTATAAATCAAAAAATAACGACTGACAGATAATTATCTATAGATATGCAAATTAAGTAAAAAATTTACATATTCTGTAAACAGGATAGATTAAATGAAAATTTACATATTCTGTAAACAGGATAATAGACCACACATTAACAACGACACACAACAGTACAACAGACAACACATTAAGAAGGACACATAGTTAAATACAAGAGACCACACATTAACAATGACACATAGTTAAATACAACAGACCACACATCAACAATGACACATATTAAAGTACAAGAGACCACACATTAACAATGAGACATCACAAAAAGTCAAAGGTCAAAGGTCAAAATAGGTTTCATATGTGTCACTATAGGGTCAAAGGTCAAAGGTGAAAGGTCAAAATAGGTTTCATGTGTGTTATTTTTGGGGTCAAAGGTCAAAGGTCGAAATAGATTTCATGTGTGTCACTTTGGGGTCAAAGGTCAAAGGTCAAAGGTCGAAATAGGTTTAATGTGTCACTCAAATACACAATAATAAAAAAAATTAAAAAAATTAAACGGACAGAATAACCTTAAAATTAAAAAAATATATATAAATAAAACTGAATAACCCTACAATCCAGACACAAACAAATGAGGTAAATAATATGCAAAAAAAAATTCTGCAATAAATTATAGCAAAAAAAAAAATTCGATCTGAATATAAATAAACGACATTCAATATGAATAAGAAATAAAAAAACATGCAACAGGAAAAACAACACACATAAACAAATTTTTGAGAACAAAGAAACATGAAACGTATAAAAGGACGTGCGCAAACTGCAAAGAGGACAGTCATTCCGAATAGGAAAACTTATGACCTCCATCTGTCAGATGTCGCTTGAAAAGTACGGTATGCAAAAAAAAACTTGTAACACCTTTTTTAGCAACTGCTAAGGTATTCTTAGAATAAATACCAAACATTTGTAAACAAAAGAAGGAAATATACCATATGAAACGTATAGAAAATTAGTACTGGAAAAAGGAAATATAAGAACTTTACTTTTATTACAAATACAGGTAATAAAAAGAAGGGTTGTTATTGAAATTTTTTGTTAAAAGTGATTTGTTGTTTTTGTTAAAATTGTAGATTTTAACCTACAATAATCGGTATTTTATTTTGTTATGATTATGATGATGATGATTACTCCGACGGTAGTGCAGAGATGAGCGGAATTAAATAGCTAGATTCTGACTAATGTTTTTTTCCTAATCAGTCTTATTAAATAAATTTTATTAAAAATCTGATATTTTTTCTCATTTAATCTTGATAAATAAGTTTTATTAAAGAAAAACTTATTTACTCACTCTATCTAACTGATTTGAATTGACAGCTATGACATCACAATATGGCGCCCAGTCGTTCCTGTTCTTAGTTGAATCGCATTGTATAGGCACAAACGCGCGTCGACGACGGCGCGTTTAAAAAGCGTGGTATGAATAGGCTCTTAGATTAGTTGCTATTAGTTTTCTCTTTTCAAATCGTACCATTGATCCGTTGAGGCCCATGTCGCCGTAGATGGCGATGCGCACCACCCAATCCTCGCCAGCCGGCGGGGTCTTGAATGAGAACTGCCTAGACCACCCATCTTCCGAACCCACTTGGTACACTGCGCCATACAATTTCATATAACTTACCATTCTATCATTTTTAAATAAATACTAATATTATACAAGCTAAAGTGTGATTTAGAATTAAGATAAAATTTGGTACAGAGATAGATTGAATCCCGGGAAAGGACAGGATTGGAAGTTTGTATGAGAAACCGATTTTTCCCTGCAGATGAAAAAAACATGTTTTGATCTAATCGTGTGGAATGGATACAGATTATTCTTGTTGGGTATAGGCCACGTTTGCCCGCGGAAATAAAAGTTGAACATGGTCAAGGTGAGTAAAAACAAATTGAATTATTCTATGTAGCCGACTTCGCGGGTACTAGTAAGTTTTCGCACACATTATGTCAGACCGCAACTGCGCCCAGGAGCTCTATCTTTGAACCACTCAGCGGTCACGACCACTTGTTGCGCGTTGGCGAATGGTAGATAGTGATCAAATTTATGTCAGTTATTTTCAAGATTTAACTCAATAACGAAAAAGGCAAAAGAATAAATAACCAGCTATTGAGAATAGGCATGATGACGGGGTAAAGTAAACGAAACAATAAAGATGATTTGAATTTGAATTTGATTTGAAATTCTATTTAGTCCGTCAGTTAGATGATCAAAAAATAATGGACACGTATTTTTTCTTTGGGCAATCAACCAAAAAATAACAAAGATAAAGCGCGTCAAAGTTTGGGAGTAGGGGCTCGTGACGTCACTTTTAAGTGAATTTGTACCAAAACGTGACGTCATGCGACTATTTAAATCAATATATCTCTGCAATGTTTATATTATGTGAAAAAAGAAAAAATACGTGTCCAATACTTTTTGATAATCTACCTGATAAACGAAGAAAAAAAATTAGTCATCATCCCTATTATACGTTTATTTTTCAGTTTTTTTTTTACTTTTTATCTTTTTCCGTTAAATGAATAAAAATAAATATTATGTATTAAACTGGAAACATTGTAGATGAACGATTCAAAAATACGGAAAATCAGTATCATGAGATTTGGAAGTCAAAAGTGACATAAGTCGCATTCAACGATATTATGTCAGGCGAGCGAATCAAAAATAGAGCTTCTGGATAGTGTGCGATAGTTCATATTAAATACATACGAGCAATTTGAGCGGATTTTTTTTTACGCTGCGTCCCAACCTTTAGTGGCAGGACATAATTTGCGCTAACTTGAATAGGTATACATTAAAACTAAATTACACAAATTCTCTTATCAATATCTATGCGCGTCACTTATCACTGTTTTGATAAATTGTTTTTGTGCCCAGCTGTCCTCTTATATTTAAATGGGACAAATATTTTCTAGTTCATAAATTAGATACCAGTTACTATTTAACTGCGTATCAGTAGCAAGCATTATGAGCAGAAGAATAATTTTATTTTTATGTGAAAATGATTTGTTACGGATTGAAAAAATTGAGAAGTTATAATGTGCAAGCAATCTTCATTTCATATATTCATTCATCAAGTCTTATGAAAATAATAATCAATGTAAATCCATTTACACCTATTCTCCAAATCCATAATTTACTGCTTTCTATGAATAATAGTTACCTGCATCAGTTATCTTCCCCATCTTTTTTAATCATGCTATAAAAGGGTGTGCAAAGACTATTATTAAGTCAGCTATTACGGAAATTCAGCAACATTCCCAATGAGTCATAGAATGGGGGTATTCATACAATAGGGATGATGACAATTTTTTTTTCTTCGTTTATCAGGTAGATTATCTAAAAGTATTGGACACGTATTTTTTCTTTTTTCACATAATATAAACATTGCAGAGATATATTGATTTGAAAAGTCGCATGACGTCACGTTTGAGTACACTTACAAGTGAAAATTCACTGAAAAGTGACGTCATGAACCCCTACTCCCAAACTTTGACGCGCTATAACTCTGTCATTTTTTGGTTGATTGCCCAAAGAAATAGTACGTTTCCATTATTTTTTGATCATCTAACTGACGGACTAAATAGAATTTCGTTTACTGTACCCCGTCATCACCCCTATTCAAAAATTAATTTAAAAAGGAATTAAGTTGGACTGGCCGTTTGTTTCTGTGCAGTAACTTCCAGGGCACCATAGGGTAGTTGATTGGATCAGGTTAGACAATGCCACGAGTGATATTTTTTTGTATCGCAAGCGTCTATAAGCCGATTACCATCAGGCGGGTCATTTTCATGTTTGTAACTCTTTTAACATAAAAAATAGTGTGCATTGACCACACATCTGAAGTAAAAAAAAAACTTAAATTAGCTAACATTAGGCGGTGTATAAAGCGATTCAAATAAGAATAGGAAAGCCAATGACCTCCATCTGTCAAATGTCGCTTGAAAAGTACGGTTTGCAAAAAAATCTCGGAACACTTGTTTAGCACTCAGCTGATTCTAGAATAAAAACCAAACATTTTTAAACAAACAATAACAAGTTGATAATTTATATTAGTTGTTTTTTTTTTCATTTATTGAGCTTTGGCTATGAATGGTTGATAACCTAGATCGTCAACCAAATGTCAATTCATAACTTCTCCGGCGGTAATGCAGAGATGAGCGAAATTGAAGAGCTAGATTGTGATTAATGTTTTTTTTCACACAGTCTTAATAAAGAAATACTGTTAAAAATCGGTTGTGTTCTTTCTCAACCTAAGTAAATTAATTTTATTAAAAAATCTGATGTTTTGTCTCACTTAATTTTAGTAAATAAGTTTTATTAAAAAGCAACATTTTTTTGCTCACTCTACCTATTTGGTTTGAATTGACAGCTATGACGTCAATATATGGCGCCCAGTCGGTCCTATTCTTAGTTGAATCGCATTATATAAGGCATAGAGGAATGGCACGCATCACTCATATACATATATATACACTGTCGCGTGTGAAGCACGCAGCGTTTCAGCCTTCGCTGAGTTAACCTCCAACATTCATGCTAGTCGGGAAGAGCTGCGCAAGCATCCTACACACACACATGAATATATAGTGAGTCGTGTGACGCTCGTCACGCATTTCCGTTTCATCTTTTCCATAGGATGTTACTATTTACACCCCGTTACAAGAGAAGTTGCACTTCAAACAGAATATCTCTGTATGACATCTAGACTCACCATATCTGGTGTCGAAGTTCAAATCCCTCATGGTGGCGCGGTGGATCCACTGGCGCCGCTTCGCCTTGCCTCCGTCTACGAACAGCACGCTGGCCCCCTCGGCTTGCCGCTCCGGGCTGTCAACGCCGTACAGCACCATCGACGCGGTGTCGTTGAACGTCGACCATGTCGCAACAATGTCGTTGGTTTTATCTAAAATTATGACGACACCATTTAATGGCCTATTAAACAGCAAAAGTATGCAATAGTTGCTAGTGTTCTATAACTGTATATATCTATATCCTAAATGATGTAATGGAAGGTGACTTCAGAAGTATCTCTTCATAGTCATTTTTCAACATGAAGACTCTGTATATTATATCAATACAGGGAAAAAGCAGCCCTTGCTGAGTTTCTTGCCGATTCTTCTCAGTACAAGGTCTCCCGCCGTAGTTTTGCGAACCGATGGCGTAGCTTCTGACCTACACAAGTGCTTGTAACAACCTAGACTGAATAAATGACTTTTCATTTCATAGATAATAATATAGTGGTCCACCCTTGCTTCGCTTAGGTGTTGACTATAATAATAATAATTGCTCAACAAAAGTAGGTACATGAAAGATTGAATACCTTGATTTATATGTTTATTACAATAATAACCCTGAGTTATAGTTTTTGTTCTAATATACAGGATGTTTCTTTTAGGGTGTCAAGCCAGTGCGAGCTAATAGCGGAGTACCATACCTATCAATTTAACCTTCTATGTATGTTCTAAGATTTTTCGTAGTTTTTCGAGTTAAATTTTTTTTTCGTTATTTTTAAGTTCAACAATGAGACAACTTTGAAAAAGTATAACTTGATTTAGCTTGATATTAAGGTTGTAAATATGATACGGATGTATTCTTTCGAATCATAAATCTGTGTAGACAATCCCACATGTGGATTCCTGTGCGCCGACTGGTGCTGTTGACGGATTGCGTGCCACTCGACTTGTGCTCGACAAAATAAATAAAAAATCGTTATTCCGATGACGCATTCCTGCAAGGGATGCGAAACTTCAACAAATAAATAAAATCAGTGCATCATAAATTTCAGTAAACCTTGTGCAAATTCATTATTTCCTCTGAGTGGACAATCCAATTTAATTGGGAAAATTATAATTATTGTAGACTAGGAAACAATCACTGCAATAACTCAGACTAAGTGTACTAACATAAATTGATTTCTGGAAGTGGGTGTTAATAGCTGCGACAGTTTAATTACTAATACATTTATAAATTATCACTATCATCACTGTATTTTTGTTATGGTTTGAATAAATAAATGATTCATCATCAGCCTATTAATGTCCCCACTGCTGGGGCACAGGCCATAGGGAAGCCTATGGATGGAATAGGGAGATTGGGCCATGACCCCCCACACAGGTCCAGTGCGGATTGGTGGGTGCTAACGACTGCAGATGCAGCCGGGACCAACGGCTTAACGTGCCTTCCGAAGTATGGAGGAGCTCGAGACAGTAAATTTTTGGTCACCCATCCGATGACCAACCACTGCAAATGTTGCTTAACTTCAACGATCGCAGCCGAACGCGCTAACCACTTGCGCCATCATGCTCCGCAATTTTCTATGAATAAATAAATACTAAAATATTTACTACAAACCTTTAACCCTATTATGTACTTAAGTGTTTTAGATCAATAAGTTTATGGTTTCTTGTATAGTTTGATATCAAATCATTGAGTAAACAAAAAAAATACAATTTCCAAGAGACAAGGAACAAAGCAATGAGTTTCTTTGTTCCTCATATAATGACTTGTTAAAAATACATAGAGATAAATGAAATCATAACAATGTTATCATTATTCTAGAGTGTGGGCGGGATTATCTGTTATGCTGAATAAGGATAAAATAATGTTTCAAGATATATTTATCTGCTTTGACCCACTCACTATAAATAAATAAAAACTATTTTATTGCAACTATAAGGTGTCGCTTACTTGAGAGGGCCCGGGTTCAAATCCCTGTGGGGGCAGATGTTTGTGTGATGAATATGAGCATTTGTACTCCAGTCATGGATGTTTAATATGTATTTCTAAATAAATATACTTATATATGTACTGTATATGTCTATCCGTTACCCTAGTATCCCATAACACAAGCCCAACAGTGCTTACTTTGGGGTTAGGCTAATTTTTATTATTTTATTAATGTAATGTTTTTTATATATAATATGAAACTAATATGGACTATTGGGTAATAACACAGAATAGGTAATAGAAGATATTTTTTTGGCGCTTCGTTTGCTGCTGCCACAGCACGCTCGCTTTGCTCACTCATTATGACCACTAACTAGTTCTTGTAATAAAATTGAAGTTCAAAAATCGACTTCAATCTTTGTGCCATAAAACTACGGTCCGCCAACTTGACGTGCTGTAATCTATATTAGCCTTAAACTAGTCTCTATTGCTGTGTGTCAAATGCCAGAATTGTAAGAAAAGTTGCTTACCACCAAACGATATGTGGACTTGGTCAGGTTGATAGTTGACATCGCGTGGATATATATTTTTACACGTAGAAACACCAATCATTAACAACAATATAATACAATGCTTCATTATGGACCAGTTGATTAAAAAAGTTATCTGAAAACCCTTTTATGTCACTATGAAAAAAATATTTTTCCTGACCACAAGTCGGCTGCACAATAATATGGCTGGCACGGACGCAATCAGTTTATCGAATCACTGCGTATGTTTATAAGTCCCTATGTATGTATCACGAGCACATTTAGCAATTTATGTGACCACAGTGTTGATTTAATCGACTCGAAACCGTTTGTTTGGTAAACGCAGGGGTAAAGTAAACAAAAAATATGGCTGACAATTGACATTGACAAGTAGCGTTAAGTTTGTTCGATAGTTCACTATCGATAGTTGAAGCAAAACAAATAAATTGTTCAACTACTTTTTGTAAGTTGTATATGAAATTTAAATTCTTTTTTGTAGGCATTAAGCTCTACAATTTTTCTAGAGAACTCAATCATATATATAATTATATCTCATCATTAAGGCAGTTTTGTATTCGACTTTCTCTGCAAATCCGACTACCATGAAAAAGTGAAACTTACCAAATAAATAATGTGGCTTATTGGTAAAATAATTTTCAAAATCGGTTCAGCAGATACAGATATTATTTAATTTTATAGAAATTTTATTAATTATTTAAATATTTATATTTTCAGATCAATTGACATTAATGTAAAAGACAGAAATAAAACAAATAATCACAAAAGTCATAATATATATTATAAAAAGTAGGCTATTAAAGGATACGGTAAAGTTGTCGGCAACAATAAGGATTTTTATTTAACACGGCCTTATTACCTTATTAGATCGTACCTATCTGATCTAATACAAAAAGTTGTTATCAATAAAACTGAATAAGCTGGAACCCCTTTGGTGATGGGCGTGCCTCAAGGATCAATATGAGGTCCTTTATTATTTTTAATATATATAAATGACTTACCCTAAGCTGCACAAGCACATTTTGTGAAGCAGTAATATTTGTTGACGATACTTCTATAATTTTTAAAGTTGACAGAGGCAGCAATAGTTCAGACGGAGTAAATAGTGCTCTTTCAAAAGTTTTACAATGGTTCACAGTAAATAATCTTTCGTTGAATACAAATATTTTATTTTTTATTTTTCTGAACCTTTAAATATTAACGAAGAAGTAGAATCTCTTGTTGAGAGTGCTAAGATTTTAGGGTTAGCTTAAGATTCTAAATTGCAATGACATATTGAATCTTTGTCAAGTAGACTTAGCTCAACGGCGTATGCTGTAAAAAAGATAAGGCTTCTGACTGATGTTGAAACAGCATGGTTTGTCGACTTTACTTATTTTAATAGTGTGATGTCCTATAATCTATTGTTATGGGGTTCAGCTACCAATATAGAAAGTATTTTCATATTACGTAAAAGAGCAATTCGGGCCATTTACAATTTAAGACCAAGGGATTCCCTTAGCAATAAGTTCAAAGAAATTACAATTTTAACATTGGTGGAACGGTACATTTAAGCAAATATAATTTGTGTGCATAAACATTAGAGCAATTTAATAAAAATAAGCGTTGTATAAGCGTTAATAAGCTGTTCCAAGATTACAAAAAAAAAACACAAAACTAATGTTCAGGTAAATGTATAGCTTTTTATAATAAGTTACCACTACCTCTATATAAACTAAAAACTTATGTGAAAAATACTCCGACGAGTAAAGGATTTGATCGAGTCCAAAATAATTTATATGATCAAAGTATCTGGAAATAACGAACACTTCGCTAATTGAAGAAAGCAAAGTCTTCTCATTAAATTCACAAGTGACTATGTAACACATAATTAATGTATCTTATTCATGGTATTGGTAGCGACATAATTTTATGTAAATGTTGACACTCCTATTAATACTGATAAGTTTCTTGGGCCCATTACTTTTATCAGCTAAAAGGTGTCCTGAATATTGGACGAAATCAAAAAAAGCTTTCTATAATTCAATTATATAATGTATGATTTTGCTATGTATAATTTTATTTCATTTTAACATTATTTAATCAGAATACATTCGATTCAAAGGTTGATTTCTTGCATACACCTACAAAATTACTCAATAATGCGGGGGCTGAAAAGTATAAAACCGGTATAATTAAGATACTCTGAGCTTAAGCTTTCGTAGAGTATTTACTTTATTGTGGAGGATTTTCATGTACCAAAATAGAACATCTTTCAAGTTAAATATCGATAACTTAGCATCACTATTAGGAACTTTAAACGAATGACATTAGACTTAATATTATTCTCCCTTTGATTGAGGAGGCAAGGGAAGTAAATACATACAGCCTCGTCTATTGTATATTAATTCATGTTAAAAATCATTTTAACTACATTGTAACGCATTCTGGTTCTTAGGGCACGAGCAAACGATGCATTGCGGCGGGGCAGTGAGCGCCGGAGCAGTCAGCAGAGTCGATGCGTGTCGTCTGACATAGAAATATCTGTTGTATGTAACACGATGCGCTGCGGTGCTGCACCGCACTTGCAACCGCCGAGACGAGGGTGTATTTATTGCGACTGATAACTGCACCAAACTGAATTAAACTTGTATGGGACTAAATGGCAACTATTCTGCATCGGACAAAAAAAAATACGTAAGTAAAGCAGATCAGAAATCTCAGCGTAATCGGTGTATATTGATAAAAAAATATACTCACCGAATTCAAAATTTTAAAACCTCCTTCCTAAAGTCATTTAAGAAGTATTTAGCATTTTGTAAATACAAAATATTTCCTTAAAACTATTTCAAATAAAATAGGAAAATGCTTTTCTAAGAAAAGTATTTTAATATAAAATGGAAATAGGTATTTTCTATTGTATATTTTTCCATTTCAAACTTTCACTTTTAAAATGACAGATCTCTGGCTACGCTAGTACGCTACGACTCAAGGAAGAGGGGGATAGCGTTATCTGAACCATAGACTTAGTATTTCTATCTATGGTCTGACCGCGCCTTATAAGAAAGCCCACAAATGGCGAAAAAAGTAAAAGCTGAAGCGGTGAAAATAACAAAAAAAACTAAATAAAAAGCGCGGGATACTTATCACGGCGCCGCGGCGGTGAAACTGTGTTCTTCAGAAAATTGAATTGAATTTCACGTTTAGTATATTAAACAAAACATTCGAGTTGTGTAAAATCGGTTCATCATTTTAGTACATATAATAACACTCGAATCAAATTGAAAAGTATTTGATCTGAGGTATTACTAATTAAATGTATTGGTGTTCCTGATAAGTTGGTAAGTAAGTATATTAATTTGTAGTAAGTATAAAATGCATGAACCAAACTTAACTAAACACTGAAGAGTTCTTTGGTTGGAAGCATCTGAATTATGTTTATAGGTCTGTTTAATGCAAAATTTTGAACAGTGCTATCTCGCTTAGATAGGAAGACCTTTCTTTAGTTTATACTTAAAGTAATGTTAAAATCAAAATTAATAAGTTCAAACAACAGAATTACATTTTCTGTTCTATCGGTCAAACGTAAATCTCTTTGATCAAACGGCATTCAACTGGAGGTCCATTCAAATGGTCACAGTTGCATCTTTTAAATCGACTATAAGAAAAAAAAACAATATTACTCAAATAATTTTTGTCTTTTTCTTAAATCTAAATTACAGTTATAGTAGAATTAACTATTTTAAGTTAGTGTGTAAGCTAATCCATCCAAGTAGTGAATGGTCTTTCAGATTTATTTGTGGCATAGCATTGATTCCAAATAATGTAAACTTTACTTCAAATGTAATTTATAATTTACTAGCGGCCGCCCGCGACTTCGTCCGCGTTAAGTTTTAGCTTTTTTTTCTAAAATAAGAGAATTTCTCTTAAATGAAAGTAGCCTAAGTAACTCCTTATTACATCAGCTACCTGCCAATAAAAGTCCCATCAAAATCGGTCCAGCCATTTAGAGATTAGCCGGAACAAACAGACAGACAGACAACATTTAACTTTTTATTTAACCAAAATAACATTTTATTTCGGTGGATGTACCGCATATATGTTTATTCATATGCATGTAGTAAAAAGCGGTTATTTCAATATTACAAACAGACACTTCAATTTTATTTATATGTAAAGATGGATGTATAGATTAAGGGTTAAGTATTATAGTTTTCGGTAAAAAATCCTGAATCTGAATTTGATATAAAAGAAGCAGAATAATAAATAAATCCTTAAAATCTGATTACTTCATTTAATTGGCTTAGTAAGAATATTTTCAGCATGTAATTATTAAAAAAATAAAATATAACTATTCATAATAACATTACTTATTTGTACACTTAAAAATAAAGTTGAATATCACAAATCATATTGTGATAACCGATTTGTACTGTAGATGAGTAAACAACAAAACATAATAAAACAATAAAGCATAGTATGCCTTAACAAAACCAATTTATGATGGAATGATCATATTTGATGAAATGGCGTTTTCACTGTACAAAGTTCTTCAGTAACGAATAAAGAATTCCTTTTACAAAAACCCAACAAGTTTAAAAACAGCCGTAGTCACATAGTATCAACATTCATCTCACCTTCACTGTTTTTGTGTCTATTCTTACTTGATTTTTTATTTGTTTGACCTAAACTCAATTCTCCTTCACTTTTCAATGGTAATATTTCTCCAGATATTACATCAGAACTAGTTTGGGAGACAATTGACGCAGAACTGGTCTCTGATAAAGATAGGATCTGAGTCTTTCGGAATTTTCTTTTCAATTTTAGTTTAACTTCTCCTAAACTACTAATTTCTGATGAAGAGTTATCAGCGTCTACCGAGCTCGAGCTGCTGCCAGCATTCCTAGACTGTTGTTTTGCCTTACTGACGTTTCCAAGATCTATTATAGATTTTGAGTTCCCAATTCCACTGTAGTTGTCTAAATTTGAAAGTACCTCACGAGAGTTCTGTGGCAAACGTAAACTAAAACGTGGTGAAGATAGATTAATTGAAATTCCGAGATCATCAGGTTCATTGTCAATTATTATTTTTAACTCTTCGTTATTGGTCAACAATATCGGGCTTGTCTGCCGATCAACAGTGAGTGAGAGCGAGAAAGGAGACGTTGTTCTAGTCTTTGTCTTAGTCGGCGACGTCATTGCATTTTTTACTCGAGCTGGCGAGGTTTGGGTATTTTTCTGAAACGCCGCCACATTATTTTTCATATCTTCATCGTCTTTCTTTTTGGAAGAAGAAGGTTTCATAATGTTATTTTCTATTATTTGGCCATATTCATCTATAATTAACTTTTTAATAAACTCCTTTTCTAACTGAAATAAACTTTCAATTTCTCCTCTAGGGTCGATCGACGATATCAAGTCATTGCAAATAGGTTCGATGTTCATATTTCCGTTTCTAGGAGAAGTCTGAGTTTCTTTACGAGATATTTTACTAGCAGAATTACTTTGCGTTCCCATTTCTTGAGTGTCAACTGAATGTATATATTCAAAAATGTCTACAGAGTCTTTAAAGGATAAGTTGGAATCTTTCGTGAACGTCATGTTTTTCAAATTTTCTTCTTGAGTGTGTGTATTGGATAATTCACCACGGATTATTTTATTATCATTGGCTTCATTATTTTGTTCGATAAAAACATCTGAATTATCACTTCCTAGATCTTGGTCATGTTTTGAAGACGCTGTTCCTTCAGACTTTTCATCTTCGAAGTCATCTGCATAGCTGTCATTGCTGTCGTCATTATCCAAGTTTCCATTCTGATGGTTTAAATTAGTGTTTTTCATGGTATGTTTAAAATCTTTAGATAGTGTCTCGCTTACTGTCTTTTCAATATCCATAACTTCTTGAAGTAAGTTTTCGTCGGATGTGCTAAGAATTTTTGGCGTATGTTTGTTCTTTCTTTTTTTAGGGCTATCTATATGGAATGAATTTTCTCTACTGCTCAGTATTTTATCTAGTATTGGACTTAGTGGTAAGTCATTTTTGTTAGAAATTTCACTTATTTCACGTTCTATATCACTTACTCTAACTCCTCCCAATGTTAATTTATTATATGGTATATATTCCCCATTATTAAGTGTACTTGACTTTGAATTAGATTTCAAAATATTTGACTTTTTTGGAGAAAATTTCCTAGATTTTAATGTCGTGCCCCTACTACGAGAACTTGAGGGCTGGCCATAAATTGAATTTAACTTCTTTTTCCATTCGTCTAAATTTAAGTGTGATCGTTTATTGACAACATTCTTTTTATTTTGTATATTTGCACTCCCTGTCTGTTTTGGAGAAGGTTTTCTTGAAAGTTTGATTTGTTTCTTAATATGGATTTTTTGATGGGCATCTGAACTTAAATTGTTAGTCGATTCACTACTTTCGTATGTAGACATCTTATAAATTTTCCTATTACTCTTAAATTTCGAGTTATTAACAAGCTGTGTTGAATTTTGATGATTTTTAGAAGTGACGACGGTGGTTTTATTTTGTACAGTTTCATGTGGTATTTGCGAATACATGATCTCGATTACACCAATATTGTTTATATCCTTTGTGTTAGTTTTTGGTTTTTCGATAGTTTCAGGTAAAATATCTAACTGAAAAACTCTCTGCTCTTTCATTTCACTCCTTATATTTATACTTGGCATTATTTGTATTTGTAACTGTTTTTCCTTTGTATTCTCTTCCTTTTGGTGTTCTTCCATGTTTTTGTGAATCATCTCGTCGTAAGATACAGTAGGTATTTTTTTTATCTTCACATTATTAGATATATTATTGTATTCGTTGATATGAACAGCTTTAAGACGAGTCATTTTCAAGTTTTTATTTATTTTTGTTTTATTTGACGGTGTTGAATTTGTTTGCAAATGTTTGTTTATAGCCTCATGGTTTTGATTTTTACTACCTAGCATATCAATAACTACATCTTTGTTTGGTTTAAACTCAGGTAAAAATGGCAACGGTTTTTCAACGATTTTATGTCCGTGAAACTTTGCATTTACAATTTCTTCAATATGAACTTTTTCATTAAATTCTTCATCCAGTGGCGCTGGTTGTGATTTGACTTTCACACCTGGTTGATTTATTTTAGACAGTTCTCCAGAAAGGACTTTGAGATCATCTGCGGTAGACTGCAACATATCGTGAAGTTTCTTCAGAATTATTTCATCTTCAGGTCTCATTACTGGCTCAGAATTCCAAATCTCATCATCTATGATGTTAACCATTTCAACCGTTTTGGAGTTTTCAACCTGAAATGCGGAAAGTACTAAGTACAATTAAGACTGTTACGACTTTGCAGTTATAAATTTGCAGTCATCAAAAGCAATCAAAACAGTAAAAAGCATTAGATAAATATATCCATCCTTTTTAGTATCTAGTATTTTGAGGTGATGTCTTACCAAATATCTATCGACTGGGTACCGTGAGGTTTCAAACCTCATCTGTTGGTCAGGCACAGGGGCTCGGGCATCCTTTCGTTGACCCCGCTGTGGCGATCTGTGGACCAATAGAAAGAAGATTTAGAAATTGACTTATTAAAAAACCTTGTTAAATATTTTGTAAATAAAGAGTAAACGTATTGTTTAAGTGAAGAGGCGCAACAATATATTATTCCATCGAATTGTCTAGCCAGGAGTAAGTTCTCCTGCCTTAAGACTGCAGACAGATAACACTGTTGTACAATCCTCAATGATGAACTAAACTCGTAAGTAAGAACGTAAGTTTTTTTTATAGATAGGTCCGACAATGACTCCACCCCACCTGATGTTAAGTGAAGGTGCAGTCCAGACGCGAAGTTCATAATATATAAAATGAGGAAAGGAATAGCCACCATATGTGTCGGCAAGTTTATGTCGGATGGCCCGTTGTCAGCGTCACAGTAAAACCTCACAGGAGACATGTCGGTAGTAGAAGTCGATTAACAGTTTTTGGCAGTTCACGATTGGGCCGGATCGTCTCCTAGTCCGGGCACTGAGCGGGTATTGAAATTGCCGACATGATCTTTCATATAGGCCTGCCGACCCGGCGGCCCCACTGTGTATTACATTTATATCCCAGGTAGTGCCGTCTTTGACCTATTGGAGGCCCTGGGCATATTATGATAATGGGGCCGCTGTGATCCCCGTTTGGTGATTTAACAGGAACTAGGGACTTTGTATTTGACTTGAGGGGGTCCCCCGATCGCGGGGCCCTGGGCACTTGCCCAAAGTGCCCACTGGGAAAGACGGGTCTGATCCCAGGCGAAAAAAAACGGCGTTCGAGGGACTACTCCCTGATATCACAGGTGTCTATAGCCTACGTTGATTAGGTTATACAGGTGGCGCAAAAGTAATCACTCTATCGGAAGATGTTATAATTATTGCAAATAGCGTCGTACGTCAAATATATTCGACATTTGTGAACCAGACATGCAATGGAGCACGATTCGCAGGAGCGTGAACATGAGTGATTTGAACAAGACTCCATTTCATTTTAGCGATTTGGCTAAGCCAGCAGGATCACCCAATTTAACCATGCCAGACGCCGTGCACACTGAGCAGAGACTTCAAGTAGCCCCAAAGCAAGAAATCGCAGTGCTTAGACAGTCATTTGCGACAGTAATGTAACAGTTATCACCGAAAATCATGGAACTTACGACGAACCAGGCACAAATGTGTATCAACACAGGTGGCAACCAATTGACAGAATAATCTTTTCCACTTAACGGGAAATATTTAAAGTTCAAATAAAGATTTCCATAACTCAAGTATTTTCTTTATATTAAGTTAAAAAGTTATAAAAAAAAAATTGGATGATTACTTTTGCGCTACCGTGGAAATATGACAACTCATTGGAAGAACATAATAATAACATAGGAAGAAATAAATAACACAGAAAAATGTTAAGTCTGCCGTTATATATTAATATTGATACTTCCCAAAACGGACGTTCCTATGTACAAGGACAGTCCCGTGTGCTGATATTTACTTGTTATCGAAGTAATTTTAATTCACTATTACCTCTCGAGGTGTACTATGAATATGGCTAGTTTCTTTCCTCATACCATAAACAATGGTAATTGAAAATGTGAGTATGGTAGGAAAATAAAAAGACAAAGTTACAAAATCACATCAATTGTATTTCACCAACATGTACATTAACGTCTTAAATGAAGCATTTCACTGCTGCTTACAATTAGAAAGAGACAAGTCTCAAATTATACATTTCGGTCGACAGCTTTCGACACCTACGAAAAAGCCTATAAGTACAGGCGGACTATGATATTTTGACGTATTAAATGTACGTTTGTGAAAATATGTAGGCATAGTTGGATAGTAAAACAATAAGTGGTTTTCTTTAACAATTAGCAAAAATAACAATAAAATATTTTCTCTTTATAAACGGAACCTTTCCAAATCCAAAAATACAAATTTTTAAATTGAAAATGTTTATGACAAATGAATCATTAGTATCTGTTAAGTCCCAAAATTTGCACAAAGTCACGTACATTTAATGCACCAAACAGAAATGCACATCCTGTGCTCACAAATTCATTTGCCACTTCGGGCGAGAACAAATATTTTTCGAAACCCGCTTATCGGGTACTTCCATTGATAACACTAATTATCAATTTCGAATCTATCAGAAACAACGCACGTAGTTTTATCAAAAAGTAATTTGTCACACACGTCAGCCTCGATCAGATCGATCGTAAATTTTTAAATAGAATCATTTCTGATAGCAGAGCACCCATCATACAAATATATGCTTGCTATTATTAATTAAATACATGATGATGATTGTAGGCAAAAAAAATCCCGTTTCATATTTAAAACAAGTTCGAATACATTTACTATTATTATTATTAATGAAGAATTGAAAATGATTAAATTTTCTATATAAGGCTTGAAGTCTCGACTAATACTGAATAAGTTCTCGACAATTTCAGTGGCCGTTTCATGCTAACTAACATATTTACAAGTAAACTTTTTATACAACAAACGTTTATATATATGTATATATACAAGATATATCTAAAATAAATAATGGACATGTCAATTTAATTGAATGTTCTAATTATGTACCGTTTAAAGACATCAAGTCTCGATTTACACATGTTTATCATTTCGCTACTCGTTTAAGTAATGCAGAAGATACGAAATTATCTCATGTGAGAAATGCGCAAGAAACCCTCCCGCAACATTTGAACGTTGAACCATCCAAACGTCACAGTGAGATCAATCTACAATTAAGACAATACAACAGTTATCAAATAAAATAATTGAAAAGAAACAAACAATATCATCAAAAATGCGAAAGCAATACCCAAGCTGTATGGCTTTCCTCTGATAGCCTTCGAAATTGACACACACTACCAACTGTTTAACATTAATATAATGACAATTATATAATGATAATTACTTGACTTTATACAAATATAGCAGCGAGTTTTAAGAGTTCCTATAACGGCCGCGTTATCGCGGTTCTGACAATTTGACATTTCACAAAATGACTAGGTACGCTCCCAGCGTATGTAAAGCGATCTCGCTAATACTGCAGCCTATCCTGCACGCGGCCTCTCACTGACTGCAGGCGGTCGCGGTCACTGACTGCAGGCTGTGGGGCATGCGGCACCACCCGCGCCAGTCAGAGGCTCCAGCGCTACCAACATCCGTAACGCGCTTACAGATAACTTACCCTTACAAAATAATCAACTCAACTCAACTTCATATACATTCAAATTACCAAAAAATACCATTTCGAACGATTTCCAATATAAACAGAACGATCGTATCCACGAGGAATAAATAATTCTAAAGAGTCGAAATTTGTCGTCGAATGTAAGACAGTAACGGAACTCGAGCCACTCTGAATAAATCGCTTCATTGTAAAATAAGTATATTTAGTACGCGTCGTATGCAAAAAATACAAATATATAAGGAGCTAAGATCTGTACATGGTGCGACGGTTATCCGACGCGATCCAAAACTATGTTTTTACAATCAGTACTTTCGGCTACATAATGTCATGATCGTATATCGTATAATACTCGTACAGTATACAAGGATCACATAAATAAATGCCATGTTCACTATGGTTAGGGACCTAAAGGTAACTAAGAAATGGCATCCGAAGAAACACCACTCGCGAGGCGAAGCGATGTTCTGTCCTCGAAACAACGACTCCAGAAAGAGATCGGACCGACACACCGTCCCGCAGACGATGCCGCACGCGACTTCTAAGCGGATATGTACAACCGGACGAGGCGGAAAACTAGACAAAATCGCCTAAAAATCGGCGGCCACGGAGCCGACCCTCCGTACAAAATGCTCGCCTCGGCGAGGATAGGTCGCGCGCTGGCGGACGGCATCGGCGAGCGAGCTAACGATAATAATCTATTTACAAAGTATATACAGTGTCGGTGTGGGCGGCAGGCGCCGGCCTGTTGCGCCGCGGAGCCGCGCGCGTCGCGCTTGCGGCCTCGTGCCGCGGCTACTGCTCCCGCGCTCTTCACAGCGAGAGGGACAAGAGGTATAGTCGGGGCGGCGCTGCGCTGCCCTAGGTCTCCCGCTCCTTCTTCGGCTTGAATTCCTCACCGAGAATCGTCGCTATCTCACCCTGCATGAACGCCCATGGCACTGTTGAATTGGCCAATGGGCATTTTTCTCCGCTCGGACAGTACACCTGCAAATAAAGAGAAACGAGTTAACATAGAGCGATATGCTGTAGAGTTCATTAAATCGTTTGATAAAGAGTAAAGAATATAAACAAAAATAAGTAAAGAGAATTACCAACCTCTGATCCTTGTTGTCTCTTGATAGAATCTCGGGAGCAGGGAAAGCAGAACTTGTGGTGTGGTTGGCTGGGGCATTGAACGAAGTGGGTATCTTCGAGACGCTCCTGGCAGAGCGTGCACTTCAGCAGCGGGGTTGGCGCTGGCGCTGCCGCGTCAGTGCCGTCACCCGCCTCTGTCGACGACACCGACGTAGTCGACGACACGTGTCGCGAGCCCGACGACCGCCGCCCGCCATTTGAGCCTGCGATCGGAGGATACTATTAGCTACCGTCTGCCGGTTGAGCCCGTAGGCGCCGGTCCTAACATGAATAGATATATATTAAGGGAACCGAGCAGACTGTAACTCAATCACGAAACGTGCGCAGGCGGTCGTCGGGCAGCCGCCCGGCCGCTCCGAAAGCGCGGCCGACGCGGCAAACGAACGTGCTGCCCGAATACTTTTTCTTCGATCTCGTCACGCCAAAGAAGTTATGACGCGATATTGCGACCACGCTCGGTAAAAGTCAGTCTAACGATTATTTATCAATTGTTCTTTTGTGTGAGCAAACTGTTTATCTTAATTTCTGCGAGTACACCGATAATTTGTTATGTATATGTTGCATACCTGAGGAATTAGGAGAGTGTTGGCTCGAGCGACTATTCGAACGCTGTGGCGGAGGTTGTGGTGGAGAGCCACCCGCAGAGCGAGGCGAGCCCGGAGGTAGTGTGTCTGCTACGGACATGAGTGCCGCCATTGGAGAAGGGCCGGCGCCCCCCGCACCCACTCCACTGGCACCAGTGACAGGAGGAGACCCTGCCGATCGACCCAGTGGGGAGTTTGCAGAACCATTTGTCAATGATGCACTGCTACCATAACCTGAAAAAAATCGATACTGTTACTATAGCTAATTCGCATTATATAGTCTTTTGTAGTTAAAATTAAGTCGGTATAAAGCCAAACAAAATTCGATGGATGGACTATATTTACATTATCTTAATCTACTATTAGAGACCGGTATGGCTAAAGGTTTTGTTTTTTGCTAATTTATCCGCGTTGTCTTGTCCTTGTTGTCTTATCTTGATAACTAAATTTTTGTTTTTTTTTGTATCTTCATGATTATTATATTTTAGCTCTGTTGCAAATTTATAAATCTTAAAAAGCAGTTGGAAAATGTGTTAATTGTAAATTCGATGTCTTTCGTGTATCTTGACGATATTGTTATATATTCAATATTGGATGACACATCGTTTGCGGCGAACCGTTGAATAGTAAACAAGTTCACACACGCATATAATGTCTTATAAATAGCATTGTGGTAATATACGCTTACGTAGTGAACGGCCAATGTGTCACTGCGTGGTCACACAACGTGGCGGTTGCGCTAGCAAATCGTTAACGCTGCTACTAGACGGGTAGGTAAGTGGTTTATATGAGTTGATATGAATGCTACATTCAAATGTATAGTCATATCGCGAGCGAGCTAAACGCGACGTTGCCAAACGTTGTATGTGGATATGTGGGTCCTGTGTACGCGATGATAGCTGGTCGTTGCTATGTTATGAAATGTAGCGTGTGTCACCAAAATATTGCTTAATTTAGACACCTCTTTTAATCAAATTCAATAGCGCAATAGATCAATAAAATATAAATGGATATTACTATTTAAATACTTTGATCTGTTCTTTTTCAATGTCTTAAGTACTAATATAGACTTTTTAATTTTAATAGTCCTAATTTTTGAGTAGACGACAATATTAAATATTCCTTCTTACTTTATAGATGATTCTTGGATTTATTTGACACAGAATTCAACAAAATTTCAGTAATTATATATATTTATTTATATGTCATTTGAAAAGCATTTTGGAGAAGAACATGCATGATTCGTAGAAGGCATGACCCATATGGTGGCTATGACGTCATATACGATGACCTTTTTGGCCAACAGATCGTGGCGGGCAGCCGAGCGCTCTCTTCACACACGCCAGCGGAATGTGGTCGAACGACTCTGCCAACTGCCAAGCGTAGGCAGGCGCTATATTTTTTCGCCCGACGGCCTACCTACATACGTACGCGAGCGAAAATGTCGTCACGCGACGTTGCCACACCGCGCCGTGTCGTGCATGCATTCACAGCGCGGCACCGCGTTTATATTACGTGGGTGTTTGTACGTAGCGAGGTTGTGTGCGAGAGGCCGCGATCGCGGGCTCGCTTTCGAGAACGCTCAACCAGTTGGACCGGTTTCGTATTAATGGACTGAGTTTATGCACCTACCTATGGCTTCCATGTCTGTTAAAATATGTTTCGATTTTTGGAAAATGTGCATCCAATATCTCGCAATATTTTGATAATATACACTACCTCCACCTACTTTGTCTAAAAATGAAATTCTGCTGAAGTATTTTATCATCGTTTACTGTTAGTCATCGATTTGATGCTATGCTTTTACCAACACAATAATTTGTTCATTGGTCTTTTTTACAAAGTCGCCACTTCTTATTATAAAAAAATCGTCATTTGATGTTCTAATTTTTTAACTCTTCTAAAACCTAATTTCATTGTTTCGGTTACCTTATCAAACACCAATTCAATGAAGACCTAAAAAAACACAATTACAATATTGCCTTTTGGAATTACCTATTTGATGTATTGATTGCTGTTGAACTTTCAGAAACTTTTGATATGGTAATTATTGACGCTCAGTAGAAATGTTGCTTATAAGTGATTAAGTACTATCTTAAATTACAATATTGCCTTTTAAATTACCTATTTGATGTATTGATTGTTGCTGAACTTTCAGAAACTTTTGATATGGTAATTATTGACGATCAGTAGAAATGTTGCTTGAAATATAAATCGTAAAATCTAAAAAATATTATGCTGTTTTTACAACCAAATTCTAAGGCGAATGACGATCTATTACAAGAGTTACAACGATAAATCTCGCTCCACGTTCCTGCCCAAACTAGGTCAATATTATTCTTTTTTTATTTTTTAAGCATTTAACTGCTAGATATTCAAATTTAAAGAAAATTTTACTAGAAATTTATCCACTGCGACGAGATTTCAGACGGTCGAATTCCGTCTTACATTGAGGTTTCGGTATTAAGGCATTAAGTTCTTGGTAGGTAAATTGGTTAGTGCGCCCACCCGGATAGCAGAAGATGTAGGTTCGAATCGCGTCTGAAACTAGGACCAAGTGAAATTTGGACTGAAAGTGAATATTGTCCAAGTCTTCATTTCGTGTTGGCAACATCAAATAGTTCTCGGGTAGTTTTGTGTTTATGCAAAACTATCCCTCCATATTGTTGATGTCGATCACGCCAGTCAGCTGAACTCGGCTGACAGTGCAAGTAAAAAAATATGGTGAATATTAAAAAAATGTCGACAAATGGGACCCACGAACTAGAGTAATTATTTTTAAAACTTTAATACCGAGAAGAACTGTCGCGTATAAGCTGATGGATTCATGAAGTACTAAATTATACATGCTGCAGCATGTTATAATTATGTTACAACAGATAATTAGGTATATTACGATAGATTTTTTCACGACATCCATTCCGTACGAGTGTCTATTTTCAAATTTACTGATCAAAACTTTGACTTCTATTCATATCGCATAGATGATTGATAAACACCGGAATTTTTACGCACCACAAGTTTTCGCGTTTCACAAGCCGGAGTTGATACAACAAAATTCTCATACAATTGTCTGGAAAGTTTAGTTCAACTGAATAATTTCTGCGTTTTTAACATGCTTCATTGATAATACAAATTGAAATCTGCAGTAATAATTTATAATACTTGGAGGAGAGTTAGTTGTTCAATGAATATCCGAATTTAGATATTTTACATAATATAATTATATCTTCCACTCATAATAATCCACTTCATAGAGTGCTATGATTCTCGTAAATCCTGATGCAGGTCAGATACAATATATCAGATATATATTGTATCTGATAAAGGAAATATTGGTTTGTAATAAAATATCAAAATAATATCTAATAAATAAAAATATAAAAAGTTTAATGAACCATGATATTATATTCTACAAAATATTAGTAACAAATAATTGTAGCCATCTTCAATTAATTAACTAATTATTAAAAAATGAGGTAAATATTTGTGGTAAATTATAAAATGAGCGGGATTAATGTGTGGAATATTCTTTGTCAACTTAAAATTATATTGATAGCCCAATATCGGATTTTATAACTTATCTTTGTTCTCTGAATCTTTTCGAAACTAAATGTCTTACGAGTTGCTTTTTTCTATACTTGTCGAAATATATCGCAGTTTACACAGTCCCGGTGATTATAGTCCGCTTTTCTAAACGAGATGTGGCTCAATACCAACTGAACACAATTAAAATATCTTATTAATAAACAACATAAATTTACACTCACCATTCGATTTGAAAGAAGATGCATCAAAAGATGGTGTGCGCATTGGATGTTTTTCTTGCTTGAATACGCGATCTGCTGGGGCGAACGGAGCCGCCAAAGATACTGCAGGAAGCGAATCACCGCGAGTTAGAGGAGGTCTAGAATGCTCTTCTAAAAGCCTTTTAGCGGGTTCGTGGTGATTTTGATGATCATCGTCATCAAGTGGCCGCTTCAGAGTGAGAGCAGGTGCCAGGCGAGCGCCACCGTGTGTTGGTAAGTGGTGCGTAGGTAAGTGCGCTAGCCGTCGACCCTCATGTTCTTCTCGTCGTCCACCATATTCTGCTAAGAGACCAGCGCTGGCTGTTGGCCGCGCATGGTGCAGAGTAAATCCAGTTGAGGGCGCGTGGTGAGCTGGTGGAGCCGGTTGTCCTCTAGCGGCCGTTTCAGCACCATTTTGATGAGCTTCTAAAGGAGCACGATGCGCTCCCTTTGCATGCGAGGGCCCACGGCCTTCTTGGAAACCGTGGGCACGTTTCAATTGTCTAGCAGTATCTAGTACTACTTCGATGCGATCCGCACCTTCATAGTTGACGCAACCTCGGCAAACGGCTTCTGAAAATTCGTGCAACATCGCCCATGGCATGCGGGGCAAGTCGCACAGGTAGCAGTGCTGCCGCTTCTGCATCACCGACATCTCGCCGCCGGACGTGGTGCGGACTGCGAGAGATCGGTTGTCCTCGTTTCTCTTGAAAATTGTCACAGTTTTTTTAGACTCCTAAACAGAAACACCATCACCAGATTATCACAAGTATTCACTAAACCGTTTCACATTCGGTTTCGAGAAAGCTGAGCACCGGAGTCACAGAACTTATGAGACACTCGCTTCGATGGATGTTCGAAGAGAGACTGAGCTGCAAACGCAGTGGGCGGCGGCGGCAGGAGCGGGGCCGGGGCGGCGGCCGCCATTATCGAGCGGTGACGTCAGCGCGCGCACCGCGGCTGGCGAGTGGCGACGCGACGCGCCGAGGACGAGCCGTTAGCCGCGCGACGCGGATGCGCCGCCAGCGCACTCAATACAACACAATGCTCCTCGCGATAACGATGAATATCTAGTCACATTCACATTGCATACCACTGCGGATTGATGCCACTGATATGATATTAAAATTACTTTTATCTTTATTTATTGAAATAGTATCCTATTACACTTCAAATACACGTTAAATCTAGGAGAATGTTTATAATACTGTAGTCAAATATGTAAGAGTCAATCGAATTGAAAGTATAATTACGAACGTGTAGATAAGTAGGTGTGTAGGTACTGATCGCATTCGATGCATTCAATTTCAATCTATTCTCGCTCAGTTTCCTTTCGGCCGGCTGCATTCTAAATTATTATTACTCAGTAACACGAACGGATCCGGTTGAAAGACGGAGCGGGGGACGCGACCGGTGTGGCGGCCATCTTGAGACGTGACGTCACGTGACGAGTCAACCGAGCGTGCGGTGCGGCAACGTCGCTTCGCTTGCTGTTATGTTAGCAATGCCATGTTGCCGCTCATTACTGTTGTGCTTTAATAATAATAATGAACGCAGCTCATCGCTTTTTGTATGCGACCGAGGATCGGAGAAAAAACAGTTATACGGCCAGGTAAACGAGGATGACGAACCAACAAGAGTGATCGCAAGACTTTTAGTCGAGTTTTGAATGTCTGACTACACTTGCGCGATAAATAAGTAAACAAAGGAAATTGTAACAAAAAAGAAAAAAGCCATGTTATAATTATTTCAACAACGGATAAAGAACTTCACAGAAATATTTGGCCATGTGGATTTTTACAATAGTTTCCTCCTATAAAAAGGGGGCGCAATTTGCAATCAAGTAATCAAATTTTTTACTTTACCTTATCTCGCCAAATAAGGGTAACTAGATTCAGATTCAACTAAATTGAAAGAGGCTACTCTGTTAAACGAGTTTTATTGTCAACAAAGTTAAATGTTGAATTTGTAAATGAGAATTCTGCACTAATTCATTTTTTAATGAGCGTTTAATAAGTCTATTAGATTTGAAAGGATATAGGTACAAAATAGCTTTTATTAAGTTTATTTTCATTTCATATTACCTAACGTAGTAGTGACATAGAAGCATTTTAACTGATAATTTCAAAAGGCCCTTGGTTGAGATGATGTGTGCCTGTTGAATTAGTTGTTATTCATTTTGCACAGATCTACTTATTTCTTAAGATAAGGGATTAAGTCAATGTTCGAGTAAAGCAATGAATAATGATGGTGACACATGACGACGTTATAAATGTTGACGTAATTCGAAGTACCTACATAAACATTGGAGTAAATGTCTCATAATTTCCTAAGATTCGGTACACCATCACGGGACCTAATCGTTAGAGGATTGTGATCGCGCCTGCGCGACGGATCCCCAAACAAGGGAGTACACCAAAGCACGTGCTTACCATGTTTATTTACATCTAGTCTGCTGCCGAAAAGGCACGTAATTGTGGAATCATAATTCTAAATTTCTGTATTCATCTTTATAGTATAGATTACTACATTGACATTTTAATCGATAGGACAGGCAGCAGAGCACTCGAAGTCACCCTGGGGTGAAGTAACATACCTACGAGTTTTATTGATTTTGTGAAACTGTAGCACATGTCTTAATTATTATCTTTAACCACCGCAGCACTACTATTATATATTCAGTGCCGGATCATAATCATGGATTGGTGACGTTGACTGTCTTAATTAGCAAAGAATTCTGTTGTAACATTTACGGAGCCAGTTCATCAGAGGTTATCCACTTTATTCAACAGTGTATTTCTCTAACAACAATCAGCTTCTACTGTTATTATTATATTATTGAAATTACATTAATTAAAATAATCTATATTATTTGCGTCGTAACTGAATTATTTAACGAGTTGTTTTCGCACAGTACTCGTACGTATCATATTTTTAGTATACCTAGGTAATTTTGAATTTGTTTATTAGCCTATGTTATATGGAGAGATAGAATCCAACAGGGATTCCTGGGATGTCTGGGCGGACATGGGGGGTAGCCATCACGTAGGTATATCCTGATGAGGGTGGGATCGATGAGTCCAGTGCCCGGGGCGCATGCGCCGACCCGCACCCATAACACGTGTCAATGTTTATTTACGTTTCGTGCACGTATTATTAACAGCACCGGTCTCGTTCCACCTTTGTCATTTTTATACAAACACGTTTGTCCCAAACCCGGCCTTATCGGAAGCGAAATAAGGAACGTTGTTCGTCTATCAAGTTGTGATGCTGCCAAAATCTTCAATTAAATTTGGCCTTTGACGTCATCACACGATGGTACTGGTTATAGAACTGTGTTTTTTAATGAAGTATTTAAGCCACGAGCTATTTACCCGACTGCCAAAGAGGGAGGGTAATGTTTAGGGAGTGTATGTAAGTATGTATGTATGTCTGTTCCTTTGTGACCTCCTGTAGCCTAAACGGCTTGATGGATTTTGATGTATGAGGTATCGTTAGATTTGTCTTGATTACGGGAGTGTCATAGGATACATTTTATCCTAAAAGTCCCACGGGATAAAGACATAATAATATTTTTTCTAAATTTCCCTTTAAAAAAATATGTATGCGGTATCATTAGATTCATTTTTAGACTGTCTTAAGGTACTTAATAATTCCCGCGATATTAATTCCCTTACTGAAGTAACAAGACTACGGTATATACCGTCTTAAAATACTAACTAACTAAAAAGTGTGAAATAAAAAAGGTAAATTTAAAAAATCAAAAAACCCGACTGCTTAATTATACTTCAAATAAAAACTGAAAAGAAAAAAACAAGTCCAGTAGTCTATAATTCTGTTAATAAGGAACAAAGCTACTTTAACAGTCGGGACCCACTGTTGAAAAATATTATGTATTCTTGAATATCTAATGGGTCCCGACTGTTAAAGTAGCTTTGTTCCTTATTAACAGAATTATAGACTACTGGACTTGTTTTTTTCTTTTCAGTTTTTATTTGAAGTATAATTAAGCAGTCGGGTTTTTTGATTTTTTAAATTTACCTTTTTTTTTACAGTTGAAACTATTGTCATCTATGCCTGTTATAAATATCTTAGATGCTCAGAAGATATAGGCAAAATTATATGTTTTTTTTACATATAAATGATGTTTGCACTTGTTATAAATTAAAGTATTTTGTATTATTCGTATACGATATCAGCCCCCCTAGCATGAGTAACAAAACGCGATATGATAAAGCGATTTATCGACATTTACTGTCAAACTACAATGAAGTTTGACAGTTGAGTGTCGATAAATCGCTTTATCATATCGCGTTTTGTTAGTCATGCTAGGGGGGCAGGAGATCCTTTACATAACAAAACTTACTAAAACAATGTTCAGTAATTAACTAATCACTACATATTTTAAAAGTTAAGCATGTTAGTTTTTCTCAAACTGTTGTGAGATAATTAGGATATTTATCAGGATATAGAAATGAGGATACTTTTGATTTAAAGGATTTTATCCATCCAATTCAGTGCAACCAGAAATACTTCGTTGAAATTAAAATATCCATTGATAATGATAAACATATTTAGAACACTTGAGATTTTTATTATTATAACAATCAACCAATTCCCATAAAAAATAAAAGAGCACGTTAAAAAATTGTTCAAATCGACAATGGAATAAAATGTACTCAGTAATTTTCTAAAAAAAAATACTATTACAAAATATTATAATTAGGTTCCAAAATATAATTTATCGATAACTTTCGGCATGCCTTAGTCTTATGTTCTTACTAATAATAATGACTTACGTATTGGAAAATACCTATCAAAACACCTATCATCCAGATCTGTTCAGAAATAGAATGGTTTATATAAACTGTTTCTACTTAATAGATTTCAAGTTGAACCGGTTTGTGTTGTGAATGCCGCTCGTGGACAAAAACAACTCTATAAATAACAAATTTGAAGGAAGTAATTTATTTTTAAAGTTTAACGTACGCTCCAAGGCTTAACTGACTGGAAGTATTGACTATTCAATTTTCCACACCCTTGAATTTGTACAAGAAATATTTTAGGGTAGTCCTCACTTAAATACAATGTTAAACAGTTGGTGTTCCTGAAATGGCGAGGGGAACCCAATATCGACCCGTGACGTCACCAGGTCTCACCCTGGCCAATCCTGGTCAGATTTATACAACCGTACCGGGATACATGACATTGTTAGTTGCGTAGTGCGTATCGATTCTATTTGGGCGTATTCATCTAGTTAGCGTAACATTTGGATAGGTTTCAAATAATTTGAATTTTATAGTGTACTACTTTTATTTGGTCTGAGGTAGTACTGTAAATAATCTTCTGTAGGTGTGTGTAATGAACCAAGTTATTTTCGATGATTACAGAATAATAAATAATATAAGAGCAACCTGTTATTTCCATTATAAAATAAGAGGAAATTTATGAAGAAGTCTTAAATTGTAATGACCAGTGAGGTTAAGACACATACATAGTAGGTATATTCAGTTGAAGCTTAACTTATCTCTGTGGTGTTACAATTTCAATATTACATGAAAATTATAGCGTAAGTAAACTTAATAACCGAATTAAAAGCATGGTAGCATTCCTCTTTAAAGGCAACAAGACCTATGATAACGTCGACGAGTCGTTTACCCCACCGGCTGCCGCGGCCGCCCGCCCTGCCCGGTGCAACGCTAGGCGGGGTGACGTGGTTCTCCATTTTTATCGAGCGATCAAAAACGTGGCGCATGCGCCGACTGATCGATCCGGACGAAGGACCACCCTCTCATAATTTAGTCGACGCCATCCCCGGGAAGAGCACAGTAGATGATAATGATGACTAATATGAACCACACCGAATGAAACTTGAACCTAGAATCAAGGTCTTTTATTCTTGGAGCTCTTTATCCACTTAAGATAGATGACGTGTGATTGATGTGACCGAGCGCTCCTTATATCAGCTGTTATACCGATGACGAATAGAGGCCACAATTATACAATAGCCTTTGCGTAAAGTACGAAACATCGCAAAACAAACAACTGTTGAAATAAATGCAACCAATCACCACATAATATGTTGATTGGTTGAATGACCTCGCCTAATGGGTTGGCTCGTGAATGCAGTTGCAACAGTATACGGACAGGCAAGGCAGTGCAACGACGACAGTTCATTGCCGACGATCGATAACAGCCGGACCGGACCGCTATATTGGCCGGCAGACTTATCTAGATGATGAGCGAGCAGAATGTTTCTTTCTTTAAACTTGTGTTCGCATTATCTTCGTTCATCGTCAATTGTGTACGAGCACATTTCGATTACAATGTAGCGTTGCCAACAATAATATTAGATAGCTAAATAAAGTACATTCACTCGGCCTTAATACAAAACGTGAGTATCGTATCACAAAAGATAAAATTTATCGTTTCATTAATAGGTAACGAACCACAATGCAACGAGATACCTACACGTTTGGTAAAACTACACTCTGCACTCGCAGACCTATAGCCGCAAACACAATGCAGAAATACGATTGGTACTTGTACGGGTATTTTGAATATTTAAAGCAATATAAGGGCGACAAAAGCGCCAGCTCTGGCATTCCGGACGGAGCGAGTTGCATTGAAGATCCTTGGCCTCGTTACGAGCTGGGTCGGCCCGGGCTTTATCCACAGGATCGCCTTGGATCACACGTGTCGCTCCGAGACCAGACCTTTGTTGAAGCATTTGCAATGCTGAAAGTATTAACAGATATCAACAATAAAAAATCACACAACCAACTAAAAGGAGAAGAATACCAGTGTCTTCTGGAAAACTAAATTAGTTTAAATTTTGAAGTAATGCAGCAATTCATGAGTCAGTAAGAAATTTTTATGATGGAAACATCTGGTGTGGTGTGAGTAACTGTGACTAGCAAGCTACAGTGGTACTACAACATCCTTGGCCTGGTTAGCAACGTGACCCGGTCTTTAACCTCGCTGAACAACAGTTCAGTGAGCTACCTTGACAGATTACATGTTAGTTATATACATGAAGAATTATAAAACAGGAATTTGCTTGTGAAAGATTTTTTTGTGAATCAAGCTTTAAGGTGAGAAGATATGCAATAATCGTTTGCTAAATAATATGTGTTAGTCATCGACCATTCATTTGTGACTCGAATCCGTAGATATTGATTTAAGACTATTTGATATTACTTCTGTTGTATGTATTTGAAGTCTATGTTCAGCCGATAGGCAGGAAGTGCAGTAGACTGTGTTTACTTGATATATTTTTAGGACTTGTTTTTCTTTTAGGGAGTCGAATTATATATTAGTTTTAGATACTTTAATAGAGTAAAACTGAAAATGGGAGTAGATCAATTAGTCAAAGGATTAGTAAAATTATGATAAATTAATATCAATTCAATTTCTTTATTGCATATCCACAAGTTTGCACCATATTCGCTTATTTCTCCTATTTTATTTTAACTTAATAACAAGGGTAACCTTGTTATTTATTGCAGTTGTTATTACTTTTCTTAAGGTTTTCATGTTTTTTAGTTTTAAAATTTATTAGTCAAACTTTTAAATTTACATTTGTTTCATTCAATACATTTTGTCCAAAAATCGATAGTGCTTCAGCAATCTTAATCAGCTCGAGCTCACTAATGACGACCTCCGTGGCCGAGTGGTATATGCACCGGGTTTCAAGGTGTCACCTACTCGAGAGGTCCCGGGTTCGAATCTCGGTGAGGGCAAATTAGTAATAAAATAGTATGATGAATGTTGTTGAATGATGTAAGTTCTATGTTGTAGTGTGTAGTGTTTTAGGAAATAGTGTGTTTTCATGATTATTTGGTTTTTTAGACTCTTCAAAGGTTTGATTTTCGAAAATCCCTGATACACGTTATTCTTTATTTCTGGTCTTTAACATCATGTTTCGAGTTAATCGAAATGCGCGTTAAAATCATTCCGAGTCCCTTCCAATCACCTTTTAGGGGATAGTTTAGGAAAACTAAATATGACAAACTTAAATAATTCTTTGTGGATGAATTTTGAAAAATTCTTTCTTATTGTACCCCTAGACTCCAGACCTTCATGGAACCTACGTGCCAAATTTGGAGTCTCTAGAATCCAACGGTTTTTTCTTTTATATACTTAGATTCGGCATCTTCCATAATTGACAGCTCATGTTACGTATGCCCAATGCTTATTTGTACTGCAAATCAGTAACTAGACATTTTTTAATAGAAACTTAAGAAAAAGAAATTTTGGAAATAGCATACTCTTTCTCTCCTTCCTATAAACAATCTGGGTTTCTTTAAAAGAGGCGTGAAGAAGCATTTCTGCAGACCGGCATGGTGAGGATGGTTTATGTGGCAGTTTATAACTGCTGCACCGGCTATCATCGTGTCTGGACTTTACCATCACTTAAAATCAGGTGGGGTAGAGTCATTTGCCTACTTAGCTATAAAAAATACCCTATTTTCAAGAGTCATTGTAATTTTAAACACTGTTAACGTAAGACACGTTGCAATAACTGCTAATTTTTTGGCAAGGACATGATACATATAACTTCAATATTGTGAGTATCAATATCATATTTTTTGTTTCACGATGATATAAATTTTACTCCATTTGGTTTTAGTCTCCAAACATATAGAACTTTTCCTAAATTCCCAGAAAGAGCTGGCTGTGTTTGGAGAATATTGGGTAAAGACCTGGCAACCAATTTACCCCGGCTTAAAATAAATCTCGCTGATACGCTACAAGTTATTTTCATTTTCTCTATTATCTTTTATACTAATAAGCTAATATTTTATTGCATTTAATTTTTTATCGGTTGTAAAATTGGTAATTTATTTAAGCTAAAAATTTAAAGATAACATCATTTACTAATATGAGGTACCTAGTTCGCCGTTTAGTAAGTTACTTATAAATGAACTCCGATGACTTAGGTAGGTCATTCGTATATAGCTCAATGAGTCAACTTAACAGTAAGTAATAATGATTATACACTTGAATTGGACTTTCCAAATGCAAAAGCACATGGATGGACACAATGTTAATTATAGATTAAAAGTAACAGACCATGAAAATACTAGGAAATCATTCGGCTTCGGAACACTCAATTGATCAATATGAAGATAGGTATCCATAAATGAGGTCAGTCCGTTACGGAATAATGTGGTCCCCAGGTGTAGGTCCTTGGCACAGTTGCCCGGTTCCGAAGGCTACCTGTTGAAAGGTTTATGTTGAACTTAAAACTGACTACCGTTAGGCGTTACAGCCGGCGCGGCGACGAAACGGAAATGTGTAGTGTGGGCGTGAGAAACCCCAATTTTTTATTATAGTAATAGGTTACAAGGTAATCAAGTTCATAGGTAAAAGCATACCTAAATATGTACATTTTATTTGCCTTTACGTTATTTGATTGGTTATTGAGAGGTACCTACAATGGGTTTAGGTTTGACATTCTATTTATTTGTACGAACGATTACGAGTTTTACCTTTTCAAAATAAAACATAAACAATTAAATATATGCCGTATCAAATATTTGATCTATTGTATGGATATGTAAAGTTTGTGAGAGAGATTGAAAATTTTTTTTTTATTACTGAAGATTTCCTTGGCGTTCACTTGAAAAGAAAGATGGCCACTTAATTATTTGTATTATATCCTTTGTTCAATGCTTTGTGAGTATTAAAAGTGCTATAGGTACACTACACATCATATAGAGTACAAACAAACATGCATTGATTGGGACATCATTATGTAGGAGCCCAAGATGGCAATGTGATGGATAGACGATGCCAATGCAGCATCGAATATTCATAAATTATTATT